GCGGCTGCATTGTGTGTGTGTGTGTGTGTGTGTGTGTGTGTGTGTGTGTGTGTTAGAGCGTGTGTGGGTTTGTTTGTGTATGTGTGTATTTGTCTGCAATCTTACATAACAATCTAGTTATGAGTTATGATTGTCTCTTTACTTCTGAAGTAGGTTAAAGCACTCATTGTAAAGGAGTTCCACACACACACAAACACACACACGTTTCTTAAATATTCATGTGTGGTGTTTTGTTCTTTCACTTGTCTTTTCAGTCAGTTAACATCTGCATCCTCTCTCTTTAATCCAAGCTCAGCCCTTGGGAATACTTTAAAGGATTGATTATGTTTTAGGGTTCGTGATAAAAAAAAAAGAGTATTTTATCTTCCAGATGAGACCGACAGAGTAAGTTTTACAGTTGCGAGTCTTGCAATGCAATGCACATTTGAGAACTTGACGCAATATTGGCACCAGTACGGGGATATTTTCCGTTTTTCACGACTGAAGAACAGTTTTTTTATTTCTTCCTCCTTCAAACGCACAGAACAACACCGTGGTGTTTTCCTTCCTTGAAGCTCAGTTTGATTTCGCTTGACCTTGAGATTTGGAGAGAGTGAATGTGTTGCCGTTTGCGAGGGGAATTACTCAAATGTTGAAGATTGCCTCAGTTTTTTTTTTTCATGGGTGAAGTTTAGTCTCAAATCTAGTGATCGAGTGAAGCTAAGATTGGACTCTTTATATATGGCAACAAGTTGTAGCAACAGATACATCACTCAATCATCAGCCTGAGAGAGAGGGGTGTAAGAAAACATCTGTACACTTGAGGACTGAATTTGTGATCCACTACGCCGCGTTGAAGACACTGAGCAGATTCTGCAGCGTCAGTGTGCACAGCGTTCCGTCTTCTCCGTTGTGATTTTGTTCGTCCGAAGGGGATCGTTCACATCGCGCATACAACGGGGTTACTATGTCTTTTAAAGCTTGACGTGTGCTCCCAGTGGGCTCCTTCAAAAATAGACTCAGCGCACATTTGGAGTGACACCAGAGACGATCCGGGAGCGTGCAGTGGAAACACGACCATTGACTGAATGAGGACCAAAAGGTAGCGCACACAGACCCTGTGGAATCAAAAACTCTACCCCTTGACAATTCTCTGGCTGTCATCTGTCCATACATTACTGCCATGAGGCCAAACCCCGTCTCTGGCCCACGCATGTGCGGTACAGTGTGTATGATGGTTTCCCTCTGAACTCTGTAAACGTCTTCGAGCTTTGGTCGGAGTCAGTGGCTTCTGCTTTTTAAAGCATGTTTGACAAACGCACGGCCTGTGATGTGGCTCCATGTTGACACAACTTGTGCTCCAGCTCACAGACTGTAATTTAGCTCAGTGCAAACCCGCATACACAAATATCTGGATAAAACACACACATGCTTAAAATTACAAATCCAGCATCGCTCACAACACAGCAGTGTAAGCTGTGTGTTGTAGTGAGGAGGAGTCAGGACTTAGTGAGGGATTTTCAGGACTAAGTTTGTACCTGTCTGTCTCTGTGAGGGTAAACGACACCCCCCCCCCCTCCCCCCTCCCCCGGGGGTCCAATGACTACAGGGACTACAAACAGCACGAGGAAATTAGAAAGGCGACTCTAAAGACAGGAAGAGTCGGATGACGACATCCTTATTTCCCACCCATTAGTCGACTGGAGGGAAGAGGGAAAAAAAGTGGGGAAGAGCAGAGAAGGAGGGAGGCGGCTGAAGGGGAAGTGTGTGAAGACGGGATGGTGGAAAGACAAGAACGAGGAGAAAGAGAGGGGAATGAAAAGAAAGAGGCCATTAATTTAGTGCTGTGGGAGGGATCTGAAGGTTACTGAGCTCTCTCTGCCAGGCCCTCCTGGGTTGACTGATGCCTTTGTGAGGAGGCCAGGAACCACGCACACACACACACACACACACACACACACACACACACACACACACACACACACACACACACACACACACACACACACACACACACACACACACACACACACACACACACACACACATACACACAAACATCCATACACACATGCATGGTTCCAAGAAACTCTGGGTTTGTTGCGGCAGGCTAGTTTCAGCAAAATAGACACACACACACACACACACACACACACACACTCACTCACTCACACGTACACATGCTAAGACACGCACACAGATGGTCATTAATGGGCTTCAAAGTGAGGGCTAAATGGGAGACCTTTATTTATTTCCTCTCCTGGATGTGATTTGCTGTGATTTGTCTGAAGATGTGTTGACTCAGTATTTTTTTTTTTAATGGACTCTAGTCGTAAATCAGGGCCGTGTAAATGTTTGGACCGGTGTGTTGGTGTGTTCCACTTTGTATTTTAGGATACTATGTTTGCCTGTTTACATATGCCAACAGTAAAGGCAAATGGGTCATATTAAAGGGCTGAAGAGCAAGCAATGTGTTTGACTGAAGAAAAGAACAGGGTTTGACTTTGACCTTGTGATGACACATGGTCCCAAGAAGCTGCTACATGGCCTACGAATATTTCATGTATGTGCTTCCCTTTGGCCGCCGTCCCTATTTCTTCACTCTGGCGTTATCAGAATCTGATGCTTCGGCTCTTGAAATGACCAAGCAACTTAAAAGGTTATCACATTTCACAGTGGTTGTGTTTGTATTGGTTAGTTTGCTGTTTCTGTATCATTTGACATCAGGTTTTTCATTGGTCCACCAAAAATGTACTTTGGCCAGCAAATGTAGGGGCTTGGTGGCCTTTGGGGCTATTTAAAAAAAAAAATGTTAGCATCTATCATTACTAAGTTTAATCATGTTGATATTTTCTTATGTTATTTATTTTCAACATTAATATAATGTTGTGTAAAACGAAGGGTTGCTCAATATGTGGCCGGTGATAATATCATGACACAGTGATTCTGACATCTCATAATTTAACATAACCGTATCTGATTAACTGGCTATAAACGGCCTCTAAAAAAATGATTAAGTGCATGATTTTGTCCTTATCCTTAGAGAACTTTTGAGGGGAAAATCCACCAAATAAATCACTTTGTGCAGGTTTGAAACGTTTCCTAGTTATCAATAATGATGATCTCTCCTGGAAACAAATTGAAACGATTCATTAAAACTCCCACTGACAAGTTAAAGCGACCTGAAGCTGTGCAGCTGTGTACGCATGGCCATCATCTCATTTTACACACACAGCACATGTTTCTACATTATGTCCCGACAGACGATATTCATTTAATGAAAGTCATTCATATTAAGATCAGGCATGTTTATTGCTCTCTTTGAAGGCCCAAACATGTCCAGTTGAAGCCATATCCATCACTAACACAATAACACAGCAGTATGACCAAAGGGCAGAGGGTCTGTGAAGTCCTGTTTGTACACGCTGACACAGCGTGCGGCTGTATGGACTTAATTAAACTGTAGTTTATAGAACAAAGCTCTTTGGAGACGGGACAGAGAATCTGCATGGCAGAAGGCAGTGACAAAAAAAAGATGCGTATGTGATTAACTTTGTGAAACAAAGACGGCAGCACATGAACAGATCTGAGTAAAGTCTCATGGTCTGCACACTTGGGGGTGGCGGGCCACCCCCCTAATATAAGGTAGGGGAAACACTGCATTATAATCTTTGTTTTAGAGATGAAGACTTGGACATTGGCCCAAAAAATATGTTACTAGAGTCTTAATACCCTGAAGACCTGAACTTAAGACTTACAAGGAAAACCATTAACTCTCTGATTTTGACAAATGTTATATACCAGGATTAAAATTAGGCTAAAACTGTAAAAATGTGATGGTAAAATCAGGATTGAGACCTGAAACACTTCCTGTGGACTTGCAAATTCCCCCTAGGGATTTGAGACTTGATTTTTAAAGTCCATTGGAGGCCTTACTTGAACTTTTTTTGTGCCTTTATTGGAGAGATAGGACAGTGGATAGAGTTGGAAATCAGGGAGAGAGTAGGGAATGACATGCGGGAAAGGAGCCACAGGCTGGATTCAAACCCGGGCTGCCTGCTTGGAGGACTACAGCCTCGATACACGGGGCGAGCGAACTAACCACTGCGCCACCAGCGTCCCAACAAACTTCATGTTTGATCCTAAAAGATTCACTGTATCATCAAATCGGATGATTAAGACTGCAGTTGTTAGCATTGAACCAGCAATCTTGGGACACTAAATGATCTCTTTGTCTAAAAAAATCTTTGTTATCTGGTGTTGTCTGAACTAAGAGCTGTTCGGTTTGTCTATTAAAGAGAACCTTCTAGTTAATTGTATGTCATTAAGGCTCGATTGTCTCTTATAAGTACTTACCCTGGCAAGAAGATCTTTAAACCTCTGACACATATGTGGGCAGTGATTTAGAGAACTTGAACCAAGTTAGTTTTTATTCTGCCTGGAGTCCCAGACAGAAGCATTAATCAAAAAGACAACCACTTTAATTCAACATTGTACCACTATTTTACCTTAAAATCATTCTGACGGTACGCTGACTTGTAATAGGAAGAAAAGTGCCTCTTACACCCTCACTTCGGTTGGGCTGGTGCCGTCTCATGAGACGTTTGAAACACTTTACGGCACTAGTTTATGTTCAGGAGGCCCTGAAATCGAACGCCTCGCTCTTGACTGGTCGTACGTAGCTCGGTATTTTCAGTCCTGACATCATGAAAGTGGCAAAAAGAAAGCAAGAACCCACATGGTTAGAAGACCACAAAACCACAGTCCTGTCATGTGTGTTACAGTAAAGCCCTCCTTCTCTGACTCCATATGGCAGCCTGCACCCCGTCTGTGTGCTGAATGTTTTCAGGCAGGCTGCGGTTTTTATCCTTAAAGGTTCCACCTGTACATATAACCCTTCAACCTCAAGTCAGCGATGCAGAAATGAAGCGATGGGGAAATGAGCCATTCATATATAACCATGTTCTTTCCTTCCACTAAAAAAAAGATGTCTAACCCTGTCTTCCTCTCTGTGTGTGCAGGGGTCCAGGGCAGCGCTGAGTGTTCATGTGGGAAGAACCACTTCACTTGTGCGGTCAGTGCGTTCGGGGAGTGTACCTGCATCCCCGCCCAGTGGCAGTGTGACGGAGACAACGACTGCGGCGACCACAGCGACGAGGATGGATGCAGTAAGTTCCCAATCCATATCGGTCTCTGTCAGCCTCCTCTTTCTCTCTTTAACTTCTCTTTTTGTTTCCGTTTCACTCTGATGAACAGACGTCGACCCCTCCAGTCTGGATGTTGAGCAGCCAAGCTAAAGATTCTCTGTAAACTAAACACATCAAATGAAATCCCTTCAGAGTTAGACTTTGTTGTTTCCAAATTCGACGCACTGATTGACTTCGAGGTGGTTTTGAGGCCAAAGTACTTTTGCATGATCCATGTGTCTAGCTCTTACTGTCTGTTGCTGTTAAAAATTTGAGGTTTTGGATTTCCTTGTTAAAAATGTCCAAATCCTGGCCTCCAATCGTTCCAGGTGCACAGTGCCAAATGTAAACAAAACACATGACTGACCGTGAGAAACTGATGAGTGTTTGGCAAATGAGAACACAATTGAACTGTCGACAGTGCCGCCTTCTTGCATATGTTAAAAAAGATACAGAAAACGAAGCACAATGCATCCTCATATTCTCCTAAAATGACCCCGGATACGGAGGAGATTTAGAATTTAGCATCAATTTACAAGCCGGACAGATTTGACACTATTGTATCATTTCAATGAAATCCAGCCAAATATGGTTAATCTCATTGATGGTTCACCACCGTCAGCGTGTTTCTAAATGGCTGTGTTGTGATGAGTGTCTTCCTAAACTCAGCCGAAATGGAATTTTTGGGGCCGATACCGATATTGGGGAGAGAGAAAAATCGATACCAATATATCGACCGATATCTTTCGTAGATCTATGTTTGAAACGTAGAGATAGATAGATATACACATTTATTGTGTTAATTGCTCAAATGCAGTTATCAAACACTCGTATATAATAAGAAGACGAGATGGGCGCATGAAGAGAGTGCTCTGGAGAGTGATGATGCTTGTAGTAATTCATATAGCGCCCTCTGCTGTTGAAAGAGAACTGCTAGTGTAATGCAATGATGCTAAAATGAAATGCTATTTGACTGGTGAATAGATCTAGTAATATCTATATCTATGATAAAATTGGCGGCTACCGATAGTCACTAGAGACGCTAATATCGGCCGGTGTTATCGGCTGGCTGATTAGTCGGTCGGGCTTGACTTTTTCCCCCCATTGTACTTTCTCTACTTGGAAACGTTTAAATCCTGACTTGTCTGGAAAACTGCATTGGCTTCCTCTGTCTTTGTGGTCCACCTGAAATGATGCTTGACTAATTGGTGGGCGAATGAAGTTGGCCGGAGAGTTCTGTGTGTAAGACAAACTAAGAAACGCAGAGCTCTGGTTTGTCTGATTTCAAACATGTGTTGAAGTTGTGTAAAGGAGCAGTTGTGTAATCGGCCATGTTTTAACTAGGAGGTTTCTAAAAGTTACTTTTGTTATAACTTCCCTTGATTAGTATAAACATGACTTTCAATAAGACTCTTTTTTTTTTTTTTTCATTAGAAGAGAATATCTTCCATGATAGTCGCCAAATTTCTCAAATGTAAAAAGGTGAAGCACAAACACTGGCAGATGTTCCAGATTTTTTAGTCCAAATAAAACAGGCTTAAATCTTAAGAAAATTATGTGATTACACAGTGACTTAAGAAGTTAACAGATCTGTTCGGACGTTAGTATATTTTTTACTTACTTGATCATCTGTGTGGCAGGGCTCCACACTCAAAAAAGATATTTCTGTTGTTCTAATTTGATTTTGAAGACTCATAATAGTTAGACTCGATGCTGGCGGATCAACCAGCTGTGCAAATGGGGTTGTAAATGAGAAATTCTACACTGACTATTTCCATTGTCCCTTTCTGGCAAACTGTAAAGCACTTTGTAGCCCTTTGTTTGCTATACCAATAAAGGTTATTATTATTAAAGGTAATTTTAGAAAGCGTTTAAACTCCACCCTCCTCATACGAGACTCCGGCTCTGTTGGCAGCTCCCTGATTCAAGTTTGTGTAAGTGCATGACTTCTGGGCTTTTACCAGAATTGTACAACAGTGCACAGCCAGAGTTTTCCTGCACAAACAGCGTGCAATAGTAAGAAGAAAAAATATAATTGGGTCCATATGGATCCCATCATCACCCAGTGAAACAGGGAATGGGTCACTGGTCCAGGCGGGGTAGTATTTCTGAAGCAGGAGCAGAACGAGGCGCTCAACGTGGTGCATGCCCTGTGCAGAAAAATGCTTGAGTGACTTCTGGCAACCGACTGCGTTTGGCTGGAGGGGCAGCCTTGGCAGCGCAGTCAGACAGGAGTATTTTCCTGCAGAGCATGTCAGTTTGTCAAGTGGAGGAGATCTTCAGCGCGCTTCTTTTGCACTTCTGTGTATCGATGTGAAATGTCGATGTGAGGGTCTTCTTTTTTTTCCTTCTTCCTTCTCGCTCACAGAGCAGAGAAACAGATGCTGCCCTTTTGTTTGACACCTACTAAGCCTCTTTTAAATGTGTGTGTGTGTGTGTGTTTGTTGATATTCTTTCCCCATCACTCTTCCTCTGTCACATTATGCTAGTTGGAGGTCGGGAGACGGGATGCTAAGTGGTATTGATCTCCGGCCAGTTGAATGTTCAGGGAGTCTGATCGCCGTGCATCGATCTGCGGCACGTCACTTATTTAAGGAGACACACGGAGGCAGCTGACAGATATCAGAGCGTCTTAGCTGGACCTTTCTAATCCATTAGTACTGTCTGATCGATCCTCTGCTCCTCTTTGACTCTCCTCACTTCATTTTGTAATCATGTGCAGAGCTCATATCACATTCATACTGTTGTAGTGGTTATCCATTGGAAGTAAAGCTATAACCCATCAGTGTCTCTACCTGAACTAACTATCCTGCTAACATCCCATCTCACATCACGAGCACCTTAATCTATTCTTTATTTCGTCTTATAGTAGGAAAATTGCCTCTGTTTGCAAGGTGTGCATTTCAAATAGCGGCTTTCTTAGGTTCATCTTTTTTAAATTTGGAGCATTTGAAAAAGAAAATGTGTTTGAAAAGTCCTGAATACTGGGTTTCTTGAATCTACTCCCTGGCATCCTGCTGAGTGAATAAAGTGTTACTGAAATAATAAATAGACAAACATTTTGAATCTCAATGATGCAAATAATGCAGTTTTTTTTTTTGGTCCATGGGGGGAAAGGAGCCTCAGGTTGGATTTGAACTCGAGCCGCCTGCTTGGAGGACTATAGTCCGTATGGGGCACTCGCACTAAGCGCTACACTAATGGCCCCTTAATGTTTATTTTGTGGTTTCCTTTTTTTTTTTTTCTGCATTTTTTTTGCATTTTTGTAAAATGATGAATGTTTTACGTTTTGGACTGTTGTTGGATAAAATTATAAATAATTTCCTTTTTACTTCAGCAAATGAGATGGATATGGACCTTTTTAAAAACGTTAAGATATCTCTGAAGGGTCCCAGCCCAATAAATTGATTAAAAACTTAAAGTAATTGTATTCATTTTTTTTCCCGCTATTAGCCATCAGGGAGAGTCATGTATTCTTAATAAACATACAAAATGCAAACAATGGTACATCGATGGTAAAAGTGCATAAAGTGCACAGATTCCAATCATAACCTTTATAAAACAAGTTGATCTTTCAAAGTTACAGTTAAATAGATAAATAATAATACAAGAACCATTAAGGAGCATGACATCAGCTTCCCAGCCTGCTATCTCTACCCCCCCCCCCCCCCCCCCTCCCCCCAACAACCACATCAACAACCACATCAATACAAATCAAATCTGCACCCAAGAATCCAAACAGCACAAAATGATACAATCCCAGGCCGAGTTTACAGCCTATTGAATGACTGTATTGATCCTCAGGTAAAGATTTGTAAGTGTGATATGTTTGCTATTTGACATGAAATAATATCTTTCTGCGTGTAGGCTGAGAGCCCTTTGATACAAATCTCACAGTGAGAGAGAGTCGTGTTTGTGGTTCACAGAGGGGAGATGAAACCCACGTGACTCGGTTTCTATTACACTGATTGAATTAAGCGAGTCCAATCGTAAAAACAGAGGAGTGAAATTTTATGGCCGTAGACGGCTGGTTTCTAAACGCAGAGAGGAATTGAATTTATGGAGGTTTCAATGCTGTGGTGCAGTGGAGGGAGAGCGGTTTTCTACAATTCAGCAGGAACTGCAGACGTGTGTGTGTGTGTGTGTGTGTGTGACCATGAGAATGTAAAATCACAATGAACACGCACAGATAAACACACAATGCTTCCATTCAGCAGAATTGTATCATTGTAGTCTGTGGCATCCCAACGTTGTTTGAACTTTAACATATTTATCATTTATACCAATTTAACCATTTCCAAGAGAAAGCACGATTGTCCTGAACATCTGTGACGGAATGTGTGTGTGTCTGTGTGTGTTTGTTTGTTTGTGTGTGTGTGTGTGAAACTGAAGAGAATAGGAGCAGAGGCACAGTGGCCAACTGTGTCCATGAAGCAATCTGTTAACTTCTCGTCCAATTAGGATGTGGGAGTCACTCGGAAACTGTTTAGTGCAGATGTGGCTGTTCTGTGTGAGGAAGTGAGTGTGTGTGTTCTTGTGTGCTGTGCTTGTGTTCCCCCATATAAAGTTTCATAGCTGCACTGAGACCAAAGAGGGAGTAGAGAGGAGCATGCATGACTTCTCTTTGTGCAATTATGTGTGTGTGTGTGTGTGTTTGAGTGAAGGATGAAATATGGGGTGTTGTGAATGTCAGTGCTGGAACTCTATCTCGCTCAAAGGGAGTTGCTGGTGGTTGAAGGTGAGGAGGAAACGGTCTTTACAGCCGGCAGCTCTCCTCTTCACCCCATGTGTAACATCTGTCTGTTTATAGTGGACCACACTGGGTAGAGGTGAAGGGGGGGGGGGGGGTGTCTATGCACTCTCACATGGTGACAATAAATCGTGATTAAGTGATAGTGGTGCAGTAGAACTCCCTTGATGTGTCGATTCTTTACATGCTTACTGTACGAGCAAATTCCACAATGTGCAGTCGTATGGCTCCT